CCAGTATACGCCAACACCATCGCGACAACAGCTACCGTAGACATCCATCCTCTTACTTTGGCCACACCCCCCCTCATTCCGGGGCGAGCATCGGTTGAAATTGCAATCTTCTTGGGGCAAAAACTGAGTTCCGTTCCCTCAGGAATCCTATCCGAGAAAAAGCCCGAGGCAATAGCCGACAATTGAGACATATCAAGAATTGTCTCCTCCGACGCTAAATAGTAGCCGCCGCAACATCTAATAAAGATACGAACCCCGAACTTGAAGATCGGTCTACACCAAAGGGGAAGTCCGACGTGGAGATCGCTGCGGAGCTTAAGGCCAAGGGTGCGTCAGTGGAGATCAATGAGGAAGGCCAAGTAATCGACAAAACCCAACTACTTTCCGGAGGCCTGAACCTAGGAACTGTCAGATCATCTAAGCCAAGCTCCGGAGCAAGCCATTCTACCGGGACAAGGCAGCAACCGGGTTACCAGTCAAAGAACAAGCTACAGCAAGACCTCAGAGCCAGACAGAGCAAGATGTTGGAAGACCAACTGGCTCAAGCTCAGAAGAGGGCCTTAGAAGAAGGGGAAGAGTCGAGGGCAGAGTTGGAGCGACAGACAAAGTCGAGGAAGACGAGCACGGATGTCCAGTCAGCGAAAGAAAGGTATCTGCAGAGGAAACGGGAAGCGGCAGCAAAGAAGTAGTCAACATCTTTTTTTACTTTTTTCTCTTCAAACACTCGCAAAGGGCCCTCAAATACGGTAGTCGACTCTCTTCATCCCTGAATGAGCAAACAAGCAGGAGTCATAGACGTTCGTTCACATGTATAATACCGGCGGTATTGTGGATTGGTTTAGGTTTTCTTGCTTTTCATTATGATAGATTAATTTTTTGTAAAGATGGCAGTGTACCGGTATCCCATCATAGGAAGGGGGTTACGCCACTAAGGCCTGCTATAAATACCTTCGCTAGGCACCAACTGAAGCCTAGAGGATATCGGCAGTGAATAAGTCGAAACAAGTCAGCAGCCACCCTGTCCCCCCCCCTCCCTCCCTCTTCTTCCCACCGATAGTCATCCAACAAGTACTCCATGTCAAACCCAGGTGATACTTCTGGAAGAGCGGGGGGAGGTCAGGCAGATCCAACTAACTACATTACCGTCATGGCATTGTGATACCGGTATCGCGAACACAGTGCAACAAAAAGTTCCCAGGACCCCAACCAACCACGTTTGGCGTATTCCCTTCAAGATACTTGTATCGGCATTCAACAGCTACCCTCCGGAGGGTTCTACTACTTACCAATTTAGGACTGTCTGCCCCGTGTATTTATCATGGAAACATACCGGTACTCGAGTATGATAACTCACCACACCGGTAATACCGGCAGGCTCAACCCTTAAAAGTTGCCCAGGCTCAGGAATGGTATCATATCATGGGTATCATAATTGTGTGAGGTAAACTCTAGCAATGTACCCGCGGAAGCGAAGACAAAGGATGACTACTGGTAGAAACCCTAAACATCCCCGAAGTCCAGGCAGGGAGCCCCCCACCACCAACCTTCCTCCCACTCAATCACACAATTGGGCAGCAGTGGCAACCTACCACATTGTGCTGCACTAGGTAAAGTATAGTACGATTACTGTACTGTACAAGCACCCGGGAATATGTTTTCGCACGGTTAATCTAGGTTAACCCGTAAATAACCCCTGTCTTGTATGAAAACATATTCCTGGGTACTTGTACTTTACAGTAATAACATCTACTCCCCACTAAGCCTAAGAGGTCAAAATAACCTTTTCAGCCTCACCCCAGCAACAATACATCTCTCCCTCTCTCCCATCTTTATCCTCCCACCACCACCACCGGTACCACCCAACCAACAATCAAACAAACAACCAACAACCAACAGTCAACACAATGACAACGGCACCTCCACCCTCACCACCACCTCCAAATCCCCTCTCCTTCCCACCAGCAACCTTCCAAAAACTCGCGCCAAAGATCTTCCTAGAAAGGCACTTACAATCCACTCCCGCAACCCGTCCTTCGGGTCGCAATCCTGACACCTTCCGCACCCCCTCGCTGCACACGAACTCGCTTTCGCACGCTCACGGGTCCGCGGTTGTCCGGACGGGGGATACGGCGGTGGTATGCGGTGTTCGCGGAGAGGTATTATCGCTGGCGGCGGGGACAGGGGGTAGGATCGTTGTCCTGCGGACTGGGGAGGACGGGAGGGGAAAGAATGGGGAGGGAGAGGGGGATGAAGTTCGGGAGAGGGGCTTGGTGGTTACTAATTTGGAGATGGGTTTGCACCCTCCCACCTCTCTATCTTCCGCCGGGTATATCTATGGTACTAATCGGTGGGTGGGCGGGCAGGGACCGGTTGCTCGAGGGATTATCACCCGGGCCCTCCTACAGACTTTGCTCAGGCTGTTACCGCGAGGTTGCATCGTTTACTGCTCTCCAATAAGCTCATCTCATCGCAGTCACTACGCATCCTGGATCCGAACACCGAGGAGGTAAAAGCGTACTGGGTGCTCTACATCGACGCCGTCGTCATCTCCCTTGATGGTAACGTCCTCGACGCCGCCTGGGCTTCCATTCTTGCCGCTCTCCGTTCTACAAGGCTACCGCAAGCGTATTGGGATCAGGATACCGAGGTTGTCGTCTGCTATCCCGAGGTCTCGAGATACAAGTCGCTCGACGTCAAGGGATTGGCATTCACTGCGTCGTTCGCAGTCATCGACTTAGGCGCGGGGAAGGGCGGGAAGGTGATATTGAGTGATCCGGATGAATTTGAGGAAGGGGTTTGTGGGGAGCGGGTTATGGTCTGTGCACTCGAGGGAGAGAAAGTCGGGTGGATCGAAAAGGGGGGTGGAGTTGGGCAGGTCGCGGAGGTGGTTGAGTGTGTGCATCGGGCGACCGAAAGGTTCAAAATCTGGGAGCAATTGTTCGCAGAGGTACTGGGGAGTAGTGGGTGATGGTGATCGGGGGTGTCATAAATAAATAGAGATATCTCCCAGACGTCGGGTACTATAATCATTCGTGTACAGTGCATATTTCTATTATTATTTTCATCTTTCCTTCCTCCATCAATCCTATGACAGAATTACTTTTTCTCCACTGCGTTGAACGTTTAAATCACGAGCGGACCCGCGACACCACCTGTAGAGTTATTACGCCAATTCCCAGCCCAACCAGTTAGCAACTGCAAAGAAGAAAGTCACTGCCTCCAAGAGCAGGAGCAAATCACTGGATAAACGGGATACACGTCGGCGTCCTAGCTCTATACTCCCGGTACTCATCCTCAAAGAACTCCACCAACAATTCCTCCTCCCCACGAATCCGACTACTGAAGAACTTCCAAAGCACAAGAGAGTAGCCCATGAAACAGACCGGGTTCCCGAGCATGATCTGCGTTCCCAGGCCCCACCAGAAGAAGCCAAAGTATGAGGGATGCCGAAGATACCTATTCCCATCAGCACAAGAGAAACGGGAGGAGCAAGAGCAATAGGAACGAACCGATAAATCCCACTCTTGACCAAAACGTGATCCTCCTCCTTCCTATAGGCCACGAGATGACTAAAATTCGTCCCGGCATGCACCATAGCAAGGCTCCGGGCTACCTGCCCAACAAACACCAACACCATGCCCACAATCCACAACCCCCCACC